CGGGACGCGATCCACAAATGGGTGCAGCGATCTACAAATGCACGGTATGCGATCCACAAATGGGTGCAGCGATCTACAAATGCACGGGATGCGATTCACAAATGAATGACAGGCAAAGTTGTGTTCGTGACTTAAAAAGATATTTGTGAATATGTTTTTTATTTGCAAATCTCATTTTATTTATATGTGGATCTAATTCTATTTATTCGTCAATATGTTTAATTTTTGTTAATCTCTTTACATGTATTTGTGGATCATAATCTATTTATTTAGAATAAAGCAACAATTCTACCCCCAAGGAAGAAGTGGACCTAAACAGAAAAAAAGCAGCCACTAAAAGTGGAGACCCAGCTAAGTTTCTGAAGCCATATAAATATGCAGGGATCTTGGAATTTATGATCCCACACCTTCAGTACAGGGAGTACAATCTTTTTTAATTTAGATTATTATCTAAGTCTATTGTTCATTTGTAGTCTGTTTTAAAACCTCATATAAATTGTAGTGCAGACTACATCTAAATTGTTTTCATAGAACATCCAGTAACCTACCAGATGATTCAGAGGAGGCAAAGGATGCAGATGAGAGACGGCTAGAACCAAAAGGGCAGAACCAGGTGCTGCTAGCGCTCCTTCTGCAGTTGATGCTGCGTCAGTCGCACTGGTGCTCCTAAAATAAATTTCATAGTCGCACGCAGTAGTTTTCAGTCGCAAATGCGACTGAAATGGTCGCACTGTCGAGCCCTGTAATGGGGTATTTGAGTTGCGGGAAACACCATCAAGAGGATGAGCTTGATGCATTTTTTAAGTCAATGGCTTCCTCCATGCGAAAGATGCCAGAGCACACAAAAGCAAGCTAAAATGTAAGATTCATGAGCTAGTCCATAGAGCAGAAATGGAGACAATGCATGAAGCCAGTGGATCTTCTTTGGCCAGTGAATTTGAGTACACATTTTTATAGGCTTCCACTTACTCTTACTTAACAAAATGTGCAGAGAAATGTATGTAAATGTGATTGTTAAAGGAATAAATAAATGAAGAGTCATGATAAACATTTTAATTAACCTTTTTTAAATTTGTCTTCAAAAGACGATAACTCTCTAATCAGAGTGAGAGATTCTCCCAACTCCTCTCATCTTTGAAGGATCTCATGTAACCAACAGCGTCTGTTTTTCTTTTGCTTTTGATATTTTTGTGAAACATATAGCAGCAGCAGGTCATCTACATCCATTTTCCTAACTTTGAAACCGCAGCGCGTGAGCTTAGACTAAACAGACCGTTATCGTTCGTTGGTGTGGACGCAAACATAGTTATAGTTAAAGTTATCGTTATTGTTCTTGGTGTGAACGGGGCTTTACAGTTACAACTGGCCCTTTGATGGCAGCCATAATAATGAAGTGGCCCTCAGTGAAAATGAGTTTGACAGCCCTGCTGTAGGGCAATAGCACATACAGTTTATATAGAATAAAAACCATTTGGAATGTCCCCACAATTCACAAAAACATACATGTGTGAGTGTGTGTGTGTCTGTGTGTGTATGTGTGGTGTCTGTGTGAGAGCGTGTGTGTGTGTGTGTGGTGTCTGTGTGTGAGAGTGTGTGTGTGTATGTGTGGTGTCTGTGTGAGAACGTGTGTGTGTGTGTGTGGTGTCTGTGTGTGAGAGCGTGTGTGTGTGGTGTCTGTGTGTGTGAGCGTGTGTGTGTGGTGTCTGTGTGTGTGAGCGTGTGTGTGTGGTGTCTGTGTGTGTGAGCGTGTGTGTGTGGTGTCTGTGTGTGTGAGCGTGTGTGTGTGGTGTCTGTGTGTGTGAGCGTGTGTGTGTGGTTGGTGTGTGTGTGTGTGTGTGTGTGTGGTGTCTGTGTCTGTGTGTGTGTGTCTATGTGTGTATGTATGTGTGTGTGTGTGTGTGTGTCTGAGTGTCTCTGTGTGTGTGTGTGTTGTCTGTGTGTGACAGCGTGTGTGTCTGTGTGTGAGCGTGTGTGTGTGAGCGTGTGTCTGTGTGAGCGTGTGTGTCTGTGTCTGTCTGTGTGAGCGTGTATGTGTGTATCTGAGTCTCTGTGTGTGTGTGTTGTCTGTGTGTGTGTGTTGTCTGTGTGTGACAGCATGTGTGTCTGTGTGTGTGTGAGCGTGTGTGTGTTGTCTGTGTGAGCGTGTGTGTGCGTGTGCGTGTGTCTGTGCGTGTGTGTCTGTGCGTGTGTGTGTGAGCGTGTAAAAAAAAAAATACAATAAAAACCCTTGCTATGTGTGCTGCGTTAAGCTAACCGAGACTAGTCACAGCACTAGCGTATCATTGCTCTTTTGCTGGTTTGGATTGCTTCTGTTGTCCTCGTTTGTAAGTCGCTTTGGATAAAAGCATCTGCTAAATGACTAAATGTAAGGGTGTCGTCACACGTTCATTAACCGGTGGGAAAACTTCCTCCTCGTCACAACCCTACCTTCACGGAGAACCACTTGCACGGCAGCCCCTCCAGATGAATGGTGTCGGGCCGCTCTCCGGGAACCGTCTCGTTCATGTCCCTGGCGTCTCTGAAGAAGGAGTCCCAGTCGTGGCGTGTGGGGAAGTCTGCTTTGTGCGCGACGGCGCGGATCTTCAGGACGTCAGTGAAGCCGCTGAGCTTGATGCTCTTGCCCTCCAGCTTGGCCAGCGAGCGCTTGACGGCGCTCCGGTTCTCCACCTCGCCCTCGAAGCGGAGGAAGTCCATGCTGCTCTTGGAGATGCGCAGCGAGGAGAACTGCTCCGGATGCACCATGGCCTTCAGCCGCTCCATCACCTCCCAGTTAGAGATGGACTTGCCGGGCGTCTTGAGGTGCGGCAGAGCCACGCTGACCGTGACTCTGGAGATGTGTTTGAGGTAGAGGCTGAACTCGGGACACAGATCCACCGCCTCGGCCGTGTCGCTCACCACAGACGTCATTCTGGAGGCGCTTCTGCTGAACGCTGCACACAAACACACACACACGTTTGTGTGAAGAGTTCATGTGCAAAAATCATGTTTTTCATTGTGCATTAATCTCAATCAAACTGCAGTCGGGTTATTTTAAAAAACAACTAAAAAAAATTTCTACTATCACTGATGTGTGTCCCTGCAGCACAAAAGCAGTGTTGAGTCGCTGGGGGATATTTGTAGCAATAGCCAACAATACATTGTATGGGTCACAATTATACATTTCTCTTTTATGCCAAAAATCATTAGGATATTAAGTAAAGATCATGTTCCATGAAGATATTTAGTACATCTCCTACCGTAAATATATCAAAACTTAATGTTTGATTAGTAATATGCATTGCTAAGAACTTCATTTGAACAACTTTAAAGATGATTTTCTCAATATTTAGATTTTTTTACACCCTCAGATTCCAGATTTTCTAATATTGTCCTCTCCTAACAAACCATACATCAATGGAAAGCGCATTTATTCAGCTTTCAGATGATGCATACACCTCAATTTACAAAAAATTGACTCTTATGACTGCTAAATATATCAAAACTTAATGTTTGATTAGTAATATGCATTGCTAAGAGCTTCATTTGGACAACTTTAAAGATGATTTTCTCAATGTTTAGATTTTTTTGCACCCTCAGATTCCAGATTTTCAAATATTGTCCGATCCTAACAAACCATACATCAATGGAAATATTATTTATTCAGCTTTCAGATGATGCACACACCTCAATTTACAAAAAATTGACTCTTATGACTGGTTTAGTGCTCCAGGGTCACATTTGGCTAATTTGGTAACTAACAATAAAAGGCAATAAAAGCAAGATAACACGCTTAAAATACATGATTTTTTGAAAATTGTTAAAAACGGAGTTATCTGCTTCTGCAAATAAACTCTTCAATTGTAAAGCTATCTGAAGAACTATCGGGTTCATTGTTTATTGTTATTAAAGAATAAACATCTCCACATTAATCTGAATCAGTCGTCTTATCGTTAACTAAAAAGATTAAAAAGCATTGACAGCAGATGAAATAAATGGTTAAAATACATTTACATGAATTAAAATAAAACAAATTGTTTACTAAAAAATAAAAATGTACGTTATGGTTTCAGTAAATATCGGCAACACATTTCTTATTTTCTGTTTAAAGAAATAAAATGTCAAAACATAACTAAACAAATAAAGAGACATTGTAAACAAATAACAAAATAAATACAAAAACTAAAAATGATGGAAATTCGGCTTTCAATTCGCTGACATTACATCTAAATAAATTAAACCGAAATAAACTCAAACTGAAAGAGATAAACATGTCACCGATTTCCATTTAGTTCGTTAAAGTTCTAAGACACTGGAAACACCGAACTCAAACCATAAAATATATAAAAACTGAACAAACACATGATTATAATACATGTGTGTCCGCGCGGCGCTCTGAGGTAAATCCGCGGATAGACTGACGATAACTAACAGCTCCTCAGCGGCTCTGGTCCAGAAAGAACACCGATACTACACTGAGGTGATGCGCAGATGATCACAGACGATCTGTGAAGCTAAACTAGTGCTAATCTAGTGTTACTAGCACAAGAAAGCGCTTACTAACCTCTCTGAAGAGTTTGCTCTGAAGCATCAATAACAGCAGACCCGCTTCCGCATCCGTCACTCAGCAACCGGAAGTCACCGAGGAGCTCTGCTGCCCCCCAGAGGCCACTGTTGGACCTGCAGCTCGGCCGCAATATCACTGCGTGTTTAAAAACAATGGGTTTAGTCTGATTTAACATTTTCTTATGATTCTTAATGTCGTATGATAAAGCTTCTCTCAGATCAGGATGCAATAATAAAATAAATAAAAATTTAATTATGTAAAATATCTGGGTGGTAAAACATAAAATTAATCAAATTATTAAAGACACAAATCAACCGTTAAACAATCCTTAATTATTTCTTTAAATAATTCTACTTAATCTTATATACGAGTAATTCTGATCTATCATATACTGGATGTTTTACTTGCAATATAATACATATATTATTTATTTATTTTAATCAAATAAAATATTTGGGTGGGAAAAAAATTGAGAACCTCTTAACGTACAATATTAAAGAGACCCAAATAATCTCTTCTTTAAAACTAGAAACACATCTGCATTATCTTACGGGCCAGAAAATTGCTCTTATTGATAAATTATTATAATATTTCCTCTTATTTATGACAGTGAAGCGGCTCCTCTGCAGTCTGATGCGGCCGATGGAGGATTTCCGATACAGAGACCTGGGCCTGGGCTGAGCATCGGCCGTCATCTCTTCAGGGTGGTTCAGTAACCGTAGAGCGTTGAGGTTGGACTGCAGGACTTTAGGAAGCTTCCATCGCCCGGCTCCAGATGCGTTCTCTGTGTCAGAGTTCGCACAAGCTCCTATGATGTCCTTGATGTCGCATGTGACGCTGGATCGGAGATACTGAGCCGCTTTCTTCCCGCTGTAATCCCGCACATCCACATCTACCATTATTTAAAGTTAACTAACATGAACTAACAATGAGCAATATATATATATACAGGTATGCTGTAGAAGTATTGTTCATTGTTAGTTCATGTTCACAAACGAAACCTTATTGTAAAATGTACCTTTATTTCTACTCACTATAGTACTGTTAGATGCATTATTTATTTTAACCTATTTTTTATATATTTTTCCTAATTTCTTTATTTGAATATTTTGATCAAACATCATTTGGATTTATTTAGATAATTCATTTTTTATTTTATTTTAAATTAAATTTGTATTTATATGCATTATGTGCATTAATACATGCATTATGTGTATATGCATTTGGAATATATTACATACACTATGTACGTGGATTACATATTATATGTATTATGTGCATATGCATAATATATTATATGCATTACGTGACTTTGCATTATATGTTATATGCATTATAAGCATAATCCTTATTACTTGCATTCTATTATTTAGTATTATTTATTACATGCATTATGTGCATAATCATTATTATTTCATGCATTATGTGCATATGCATTATAAATCATATGTATTATGTCCAGTTGGATTATATGCATTATAAGCATAATCATTGTTAGATGCATTATATGATTTTGCATTATGTATTATATGCATTATGTGCACATGCATTATATATTATAAGCATTACATGATTTTGCACTATATATATTATATGCATAATGTGGACCTCGATTATATATTAAATGCATTATGAGCATAATGTGCATTTGCACTATGTGCATTATGTGTTTTTCCATTATATATTATATGCAATATGTGCATTTCCATTATTATTATTACATGCATTGCATTCCTGTATGTGCATTTGCAGCTGTCCCACCTGTGGAGAACTGCTCATCATGAGCTCTATGAAGTTCTTGCGGCTGCATTTCGGGGTGCTGCCATCCTCAGGCAGTGGCTCATGTGCTGCATCCTCAGAAGAGCCCTGCAGCAGACTCCGCTGAGATCCCCTGGATGTTCTCCGTCTGCTGATGATGACCTGAGGCGTGACAGAAGCCCTGCCAGCTCCAGCCTCCAGCTCCGCTTCTCCTGTTGGCTGAGCATTAGAGAGCGCAGGAGCACTTGGTTGCATTGCATCATGTCCATGCACAGTGTCTTTATCCTTTGCATCCGAGCGCTCACAGTGTTTCTCAGTCAGTGCGATGTCAGACACACTCAGCTCCGCCTCAGCATCCCTCACAGCCTCCCCCTCCTCTAATTTAGGATTCAGATCACTGCTTTCTTCATGCATGTTGACGTTCTTTTCAAAGTGCAATGCATTGATTCCTCTGTTGATGTCTTCATCCTCATCCTCGGGCTTCTCATCCTGCGCGCGCATCTCCGGGTATCTGTACTTCTTCTTCAAGCACACCACTTTCTCCCCGTGCTCTTGCTTCACGGAGGCGATATTGTCCACATAGCGCTTAAAGCTCTCCTTCAGCACGGCTCGCTTCGCATTTTCGCTGCTCAGAAAGACTTTAAAATGCGCGACCAAGTCCTTGTTTTTCACTCGCCCCCCGTTTTCCAGAAGAAAGTCCAGCACGGATTCCTGCGTGCACTCCGTCGCCATTATATCACGCTTTATGATAATATCAAAAATAGTGATAAATAAGCGAATGCACAAATCAATGCGTCGTTTTAACAGGTCTATTTATCGTTAGTCTGTGCGCTGAAGAACACATCGCGTCTCGTCTTATTAAACCTAGGCTGTGGGTGAGATTGAGTACTGAGTGTGTCACATAGGGGTCGGTAGAGCTTATAAAGATGATGTTTGCGTCCTAGCAACTCTAGTTGCAGGACAGAATCACGAGTGAGAAACTGGAGTACAGCGGCGTTCATTTGGGCTCAAACGCGCCCGGCGTTAACGCGCGAAGGCTCCATCTTGAGCCAAAATGGATTCCAGTTACACTTGGTCGGAAGGTTCCACTTTGCCGGGACAAGGGGGGTTGGAACTCAATTGAGCGTTAGAGGTTTTAATGAATGAAACCTAGCATGAGTTATAGCGTTCACTCGGGTTAAACAGACGTGTAGTGACACGAAAGTGCTCGCTGATGTATTTGACATTTGAAGTCGTTATGCTTTGTCGACTTAAGCTTCACAGAAACCCCTCTCGGAGACGCTGGAATGGTCGAGCTGTTCCCAGTGGCGTGTCAGCTGGAAACTATTGGACAACTTTTGACTTTCATCCGAAAGCGATCCAATTATTTTTCCTCCAATATTCGCTGTTTTCTGCGCGCAAATGGCTTCTTCTGATGTGGTTCGACAGATGGTAGGTGTGCGGTCGATATAGACCGTGTTCCGAGGCTTCTCCTGTTGTTTCTGCGGCTGGGGGAAGTTTGGGAGTGTCCCGTCCTGACACGCTCGCGCCGCATTTATTAATCTCCAAACACACATCTGACTAATTAGTTTGATGGAGTATATCTAATGTATCAATCTGAAGCACTCTAAATGATTTATGATGCATTTTCCCGAATGCATGTATCTGAATGCATTTCTCAATCTGAATTATTAATCTAAATACAAACATGTGATTTATTAATTTGAATAAATGTATCTAGTTTTAATTCATTTATCTGAGTTGTGAATCTGAATATTGCATTTGAGCATACATTTCTCGATATGCATTATCAATGTGAACACATGCATCCGATTTATAGATTTGAAAATATTACATGTATCAAGTTATTTGTATCATCTCAACTATATTATTATTATTATTTATGAATTGTGATTCATTCATCTGATTTATGGATCTGAATGAGCAATCGGAATACATTCACAATCATCCGCATTATCAATTTTAATACATTTATGCTATTAAAAAATATTTTAAATATTGTTTACAGCGGCATGCGGAATCTGTGAAAGTGTTAATAATTTTAACTAAATACGAGAGGTCATACAAAATGCATGTTATTTTTGCATTCATGTTATGCACGTCCTGAGTAAGATATTTTACATAAAAGATGTTTACATTAAAAAAAAAATAATACAAAAAAGCTGAAATTATTTAAATAACCCCATTCAAAAGTTTGGGAACCCTTGGTTCTTAATACTGTGTGTCTGATCCACGAGTGTTTTTTGTGTTTAGTGATAGTTGTTCATGAGTCCCTTGTTTGTTCTGAACAGTTAAACTTCCTGCTGTTCTTCAGAAAAATCCTCCAGCTCCTGCAGATTCTTCAGTTTTCCAGCATCTTTTGCATATTTGAACCCTTTCCAGCAGTGACTGTATGATTTAGAGATGCATCTTTTCACACTGAGGAACTCAAACACAACTATTAATAAAAGGTTCAGACATTCGCTGATGCTCCTGAAGGAAACGCGACGCATTAAAACTTTTGAACAGAATGGAGACGTCCAAATTTTTCTTATTTTGTTGAAATATAATTTTTTTTCCCCACTTAGTACTGCCCTTCGGAAGCAACAGAAGATACTTGCATGTTTCCCGGAAGACAAATTAAGTACAATTTACCCTGATCTTCAAATTTCAAAATGTTTTCACGCCCCGGCTCTTAATGCATCGTGTTTCCTTCTGATATCAGTGAGATAACAGTGCAGCAGATGCTGACATAAACTGATCTAAATATCAGCCGTCGCTCTATATCTCCAGTAACATGTCTCAGTGAGATGAGATTGAAATGCTCCAAACATATAATGCAGTGATTGAGAGATGAAGAAATAAATATTCTGGAAAAGGGGGCGGGGCGCAGCAGCTCATTTGCATTTAAAGAGACATGCCTGAAAAACAGCGTGTTTCTGCTTCCACTCAAAATAGGCATTTTCAAAATGATATAATAAGTGATCTGTGGGGTATTTTGAGCTGAAACTTCACAGACACGTTCACCAGAGACACGAAAAGGGGCATAATATGTCTCCTTTAAATTCGACAGACATTCGATTATTTTTTGACAGCCCTATTAGACACATGTTTGAGAGGAAGATTTGAAAAGCAGCGGTCGGCGTCATGTTTTCTCGCTCACTGGTTTCTTCCAGGACAAGAACGCCCGTCCGCTGGCTCTATCGGGACATGTTGGGTTCGACAGTCTGCCGGATCAACTCGTCAACAAGTCCACTAGTCAAGGATTCTGCTTCAACATCTTGTGCATCGGTAAGTTAAGAGACTCAAACGCAGCAATGCTGCAGATGCTGATGTTTACAGCGGCATGCGGAATCTGTGAAAGTGTTAATAATTTTAACTAAATACGAGAGGTCATACAAAATGCATGTTATTTTTGCATTCATGTTATGCACATCCTGAGTAAGATATTTTACATAAAAGATGTTTACATTAAAAAAAAAAAAATACAAAAAAGCTGAAATTATTTAAATAACCCCATTCAAAAGTTTGGGAACCCTTGGTTCTTAATACTGTGTGTCTGATCCACGAGTGTTTTTTGTGTTTAGTGATAGTTGTTCACGAGTCCCTTGTTTGTTCTGAACAGTTAAACTTCCTGCTGTTCTTCAGAAAAATCCTCCAGCTCCTGCAGATTCTTCAGTTTTCCAGCATCTTTTGCATATTTGAACCCTTTCCAGCAGTGACTGTATGATTTAGAGATGCATCTTTTCACACTGAGGAACTCAAACACAACTATTAATAAAAGGTTCAGTGATGCTCCGATGCTCCTGAAGGAAACGCGACGCATTAAAACTTTTGAACAGAATGGAGACGTCCAAATTTTTCTTATTATATAATTTTATAATTTTTTTTCCCCACTTAGTACTGCCCTTCGGAAGCAACAGAAGATACTTGCATGTTTCCCGGAAGACAAATTAAGTACAATTTACCCTGATCTTCAAATTTCAAAATGTTTTCACGCCCCGGCTCTTAATGCATCGTGTTTCCTTCTGATATCAGTGAGATAACAGTGCAGCAGATGCTGACATAAACTGATCTAAATATCAGCCGTCGCTCTATATCTCCAGTAACATGTCTCAGTGAGATGAGATTGAAATGCTCCAAACATATAATGCAGTGATTGAGAGATGAAGAAATAAAGGCTCCTCAGAAGATGTGAGATGTTCTGGAGGCTTGTGAAGATCACTCCTCCGCTGAGGAACAGTGAAAGTAAAGCTTCTGGAAACAAACGCTCCTCAAAAGATCCTGAGGATCAGATTTGAGACTCTAAAACATGATTGATGGAGAATCAAGTAAAGCTGAGCTGCTTCAGTGCAGTAAGTGTTCATCTGGAGATATTATTCTGACGCTTACTTGATCAAAACCAATCCAGATTTGACACGAGAAGAGTTTCTACAAGAGCTTTTACTGGATTAAACACTCTAAACTCTCAATCAGAGACAGAAGACGTGAAGAGATTGAGTGAAACAGCAAAGTTTGATCATTTAGAGCTTTAGAAATGATGGTTTATTATAGGGTTAATAAGTACAGGGTCTTGCGTATGTGTACATAGAGTAAGTATATTGCACTTATTCCTCCAGGAGAAACTGGGATCGGTAAATCCACGCTGATGGACACTCTTTTCAACACCAATTTTGAGAATTTCGAGTCGTCCCATTTTGAGCCGAAGGTGAGGTTGCGAGCGCAGACGTACGATCTTCAGGAGAGCAACGTTCGTCTGAAGCTCACCGTGCTTAATACTGTCGGCTTCGGCGATCAGATGAACAAACAACAGAGGTCAGGCGTCTTCACTTAGTGATTATTTATCACTGTTACCGGTTTGGAGAAATGTAGCATTATAAAGCGGAGAGTTCCGGTGCTTGATTCTGATTGGCTGAGCTGAAGCTGTTGTGAATGACGCTACAAAGTAACACACACCTTTGTTTACGTTTGTGTGTTGCTCGGCAACCACTTTGTAGCAACCACAACTGTTTCTGAGGAGCTACATTGTTTGGTGGAAGAATACTGTGTTTATTAATATCATTACACTTTATTTGCTCTGTTTTATTTTGTGAAACCTTACTACGTATATGGAATAACCGTGTTTTATAAAAGCAGTAACCCCCGTGAAGCTGTGGTTTACAGTGAATTTATAACAGCTAAGGG